GGGACCGACAGCCTCTGGGAGCCGACTCCTGAGATACCCTCTGAGCTGTGGGAGTTGCTGGGTGGTCCCAGTCCCGTTGCCAGGCACCGCACGGCTCCGCATCACAAAGCGTGTCACAAAGGGTGTCCCAGGGCCCTGTGGTCATAGGGGGCATCTCCGGGCAGCTCCTGCAGTAGTCTTTCCTGGAGCTGGCGGCTGTGCTGGCGAGAGCGAGTGTGGGCTCAGGAATTTCATGCTGCTTGTATCCATTCTAGACCTCCAAACACTCAACTCACAAGTGCTCAATTGAAGCCACGGCAACAGGGGATCCAGCCATGCTGCAAGTATCATCTTCAGCTGTGGAGCAAAGAAAAAAGCCCCTGGTAAAGGGCATGGCAAGTCCAGAGAATGTCATGAAGATGTCAGAGCCACGTCAGTTAAAACCTGGCAGCATTGAGAGAGAAAGAATTAAAAATATCTTGGATGAGGTGATCGCCAAGCTGGAGCTGAGCAGTTTGATCCCACAGATGCTCGACTCTCTGGACAGGTTTGCTGATATGCTGGGACCTGAGGTCACGAACAAACTCATTGAGCACCAGAAGCTTTCCAATGAAATGAAGCGTCTGCTCTCCAGCTCTGAAGAAGAGGACACCATGAGAGCTGAGGAACAACGAGGCCGTCTCTGCTTGCTAGAGCAACGTGTGAAACGTTCTGTTACAAGTGTCCTGAGGCTCTTGCTGGCCAACCCTTCGCTTTGCCAGGCCCTGAAACGTGAAGCCTGGGTGAGAAATCCACCAGCTGAAGTGGTTATCAAAGCCTTTGGGGACTTCAGGAATTTCATGCTTGAGAGACTCCTGGCAAGTCCCGTGGAACAGGAAGAAAAGATTCCGTTGATGGAAGACATCTCCCTCCAGACTGAGAACACTGAAACAGCCACAGCTTTGCAGGCAGAGCTGGCAGCAGCAATCCGGACTCAAGAGGAGGAGGTAAGATACTGTGGGAAGATGTTTTCCAACAGTGTCTCCGAAGCCAAACTCTGGTAAGCTGATAAACGATGCCTTTCTCGCAGTTTCTGAAGAGGACGTTCCAGAAATGATTTCTAAACCAGATCCTAAGTTCAAAGAGACTACTTGCATTGTAAAATGTAATTAAAAATGCTAACTGCATGCTGGGTTTTTTAAAAACTTGAATTTGGCTTGTTTTGGACCTGTTCTCACAGCCAACTAGACTGACACAAGTCACCGCGTTTACAAAGGAGCTGCAGGACAGGCACAAATTGCCGTGGTAGTGTTGTGGCAGGGCTGCAATCTCAGCTGCCAGGACGAGGCTCCATTCACTGATGAAATGATGAAAAGTCAATCCAGGGAGAAACTGCTCTGATTAAAACCCATTTTTAATATCTACTCTGCCTTCACTCTTGCTCAAAACCAACATCTCTGTGACTTCCAACCCTGTAATACTATCTGCCGTAGAGCATTTGTGATTAAGACGCGATTATGGGAATTCCTCATTTTTGCAGCGAAGGCAACCGAGGTACAGATGAACGATCGGGCATTTCTCAGGCTCCTTCTGTGTGTGGGGGCTGTGCCAGCATCCCAGCCCCTGACAGGCAATCCTTTGTTCTGTGCGGACGCTTTTCTTTCTCTTCCTGCAAGAGGGGCTGGAGAGGCAGGTTTTGTCATGTGCTTGCTGCACTGAATGGTGCTACCAGAGACAAGGGCCCGCTCTCCCCATTCCCCCTGCTCCTTGGAGGTCTGTGAATCCAGGCACTTGAGATGTTGACGTGCAGTTTGGCAGCACGTCCAGGGCGTCATGAATAAATCTGTGTGGCTGGTCCCAGCTCAGGGTTTCTCTCGCAGGCAGCGCGCTGAGCTGCGTCCCCAGCCAGCCACTCTGAGCCTAATCCAAAGCTCAAGGGAGCCACGGGGCTTGCTCCAGCGGCTCGGATTTTGGCTCGTCCTCCGATGGCAGCATCAGTGGGTCTCGGTATGGTTTGTTCATTGTCTGCCTTTATTAGCAGGTTCCCAGAGGACCAGTGGGGGTTTACAAAGCACCCTGTGCACATCTCACCCTGTTCCCTCAAGCAGCAGTGGCAGGTCCCTGTCACTACCAGAGCAGCGGGGGCTCTTCTTCCATCTCCCCTGCCTTTGCCCTGCTCCTCCTGCCCATCGGCAATTCTTGACAGTATTTCTTCCTCTTGTTTTCTGGGTCTAGATTCACAAGAGGGACGAAGTGATCAAAGACCTCAAAACATGCATGCAAGATCTGACCGAAGAATGCAAGGCTTCCATCCAGCAGATCAAGGAGCAGGGAGAAAAACAGCAAAAAGAGGAGCTGCGAGCCTCCCAGGCCAGGTGTGCCAAGCTACAGCAGGACATCGAGCAGCTCAGAGCACAACTTGATGCATCAGTGCTGGAGCATCGAGCATCAGAGCTGGCTCTCAGAAAGGTAAATGGGAGGAGAGAACAGGAGATTTAAAACCTTTTGTAGTGCTGTCAGGTCTGGCTGCTGCAAGTGATGACTCGGCTCCTGCGAGCTGCTGGCAGGATGCACATGCTGTCTGTCAGAGCGTACCTGCTCTGTCTTCATGCTCTGCTGACGCCAGTGGAGAGCAGCCCTGCGGCGACAGCGGGAAGCAGCCTGCTCACAGGTCCTCCTCCTGCCCCGAGAACAACTTTGCACAGTGCTGTGCCACTGCTCGCTAGAGGGGCTGTGCTCGGGGCACAGCGCAGAGCAGCAGGGCTACAGCAAAATAGGGAAGGGCTATGGTAAGAAGGGATTTGGTGTGGGGTAAACATAATAGTGGTTGTACATGAAGCCATCTTTTAGAGTTGATTGTCGTGTTCTGGGCTGAGTGCAGCTGATCTTGAGAGCGACACCATTCCCGCTCTGTCTGGCACTTTGCTGAAGGCGCAAGCCAAGGAGCTGTGTTGGGTTGAGTTGAATGAGGAGGGAAATGGGATTTATCACAGCGCCGAGCAGACACGGGAGGAAACAGGAGCAGCAGGCAGGCTCAGGCCTCTGCATCAACAGCTCTGCCCTGAGCAGAGCGTGCTGGGGCCACAGGCACAGGGAACTAGAACTGGAAAGAACACTTTTCTCCCTCGCTTTGCTCCCCCTTGGTATTTACTCCAACCAAGCGCTGGCCTCCCACAGGGAGGACCGCACACGGGTGACTGGGCATCTCTCGCTCTTGCACTGGACGATGTAAAGCCAAGTGGCAGTGGGATGGGCATTGACAAAGAGTCAAATGGAAGTTAGAGTCACAGTACAAAATCCCAAATCCCCCCTTTTACACCTCCCTTAACGGACTGGCTTTAGCGGGCAGTTCCTTCTGAGCCCCTGCAGTATTTGATGAGTTGCTCAGCTCATTCTAATGCTCAGACAGAGATTTGCTGAGCACAGAGGTCTCATTTCCCCCTCCTTGGCACTTCCTCTAGCCCTGGGTGGCCCAAGATTGTACTTACGGTCTAAATGGCGGAGGGCCGACCTCGTGATGGCCTGGGAGCCCTTGGGACATCCTGGGTCAGTGTCACACAGGAAATGGTGTGGCACTTGTCATGGGCTGGAGCTGATCTCTCTCTTGATGGTTCCAAGGAGCACAGATACCGCAGCGTGGGGTGAACTGCCCATACCTGGTTACACTGCAGTGTGGCCACTCTTACACTGGTTTACAGCTAGAAATAGCTCTTCGTTTTAAAGGCTCCATCTTCTGAGTACTTTTTGTCCCGCTTTCACAGTTAGCAGTTCTCTGTTGCTTCAATCTTAGGGTGGTTGCCCCAGTTTGTCGATGACTTGCCCCATTCCATCAGGCATGTTCATTTCCTACCGCAGAACGCACCTTTCGGACGCATCTCAACCCTCAGCCCTCACCCAGCTCAGTGCTGTAAACCAAACACGGCCCTTCTGGCCTGAGGGAACGTCCCAGGAGAATCTCCAAACCAGGGCAAACAAAATCCGTGTCAGCTGAAGGCAGCTTGCCACAAGGAGGAGGTGTTACACTCAAATAGAACGGTGCTGGGGCTCAAAGCTGCACTGGTTTCTAACTCAGGTTCTTTCTTACCAGGAGCTTGTCTTGTTTTGTGTTTCAGGGGAATTGCAGAAAGGAGACGGAATTATGGAACTTGGTCCAGGAATACGACACAGACATGGCAGAGAAACAGGTATCTGCTTTAAAGTGCTTTGCTTTGTTCAGGTAGATTCCTGTCCAAAAGGACATGTGGCTCTTACACAGGAGGCCGTGGAAGTGAGGGGCAGTTTTCCACCCAGAAGTACAGGCTTTAGAAGGAAAGGTATCTTTGTCCTGCCTCCATGTTCGGGAGCTCTCTGCTGCTTTGACTTCAGCAAAAGTTACATCCACTGCTAAATCCCACAGCATCTGGGGGCAAATGGGCTGCCGTGTTCTGCCAGACATGCCCACCTGATACTAGGAAACACGTTTTTCCCTTTTGCTTCAATCCTCAATCCCATTGGCCCTCTCTGGTGTCCAAATCATGCTCCTGTTCCTGCTGGCCCCTTGAGAGACGTCTCTCAAGTGCTAAGAAACCGACCACCCTGCGCACCTCTGCCTTGGCATCCAGCTTTACCACAGCAGGCTGAGAATCCCACCCCGCACCTCTACTTGCTTTCCTGTTCCTGCCCTATTTATGCAGGTGGATAAAGCTGCTGGATTACTAACAAAGCAAAACGTAGGGAGAGGCTTAGGAGCTGGCCGCTAATTGTAGGAGATGACACTTCCCCCTTGCCAGGGCTTTAACAACATGATTATTGTGGGTTCCTGCCTGCTGGGTGGCTGAGCACCATGTCCCGGCAGGTCTGGGGCAGACCTTGCTGAGGCAGACACACTGCTGGTTCCCCTGATCTTCCACTTCAGCGTGGCTTCCTCAAAGGCATTAGGAAAGGCACAAACTGCTGCTGAGCCTGCAAGTGCAGTAGCATCATGAAAACTATCTGGCCTTGGCCTTTCCCAGGCTGACGTGGCCTGGCTCTGCTCATGCTCCCAGCAGTGGAAGTGTCAGCTGGGCTTCAGAGGCACTCCTCTGAACGGCTTTGTACCCCGCTGGCAGCTCAGGCCCAGCCTCGCCCAGGCTGCAGTGGTGCGTCTTTTTGCACAGGGCATCTGCAGGAGGGGCTCTGGCCTGGTCAGAGTTCCTGGCTGAGGGGGATGCTATTTGCAACACAGGGAGAACGATGAGAGTGTTTTTCAGAGGAGCATGAAGATACGAGGGCCTGGCATCTCATGACATTCCCTGGGTACTGGGCACATGCTCCTTTTGGAAAGACTCAGCTCAGCGCCCAGTTGTGGTTCTGCCTAGGTTTGGGGTGGCTTTAAGAACCTTTACCTAGGGATGTGCAGGGAAGAGCTGCTGAACGCCCTCCAAATTGCTACACTTGGTATCTGCTGTCTTGCTAGGCTCAGTATGAGGAGATTCACGCTGCCTACACTGAGGAGAAGGCCCAGCTGGCTCTGCTGACCGAGAAGCATGCTGTACTTCTTCAGGAGTATTCCAAGATTGAGGAAGAGCAGAAGAAGGCGGCTTTGAAGGAGTTGGCTGCTACCCGCATCCAAGCCTTCTGGAGAGGCTACTTGGTCCGGTTGCTCTTCAAGCCAAAGAAGAAGGAGGGCAAGGGCAAGAAGAGCAAGAAATTGTCGCGGTTTTAGGCTAGGCCGGCCACTAAATCCTGGCCAGACGCTCTCTATTAACGCCTCTCCCCTCCCCAGAAGGGAAGAGAAAAGAGAATAAGGGAGAGAGACTTTACAGGTTGGAAAAGAAAGTTAACAGATTTCATGAAACAATACTACTGATACTACAGGATAATATTGTAAATAGAAAAATAATGAAATATATACAAATAAGTACAAATACATATAAAACCAATATAAAATCCTCCCCCACCCTCCCCCAATGACGAATACGGCACCAGAGGCTCTGCAGAGCCGGGCACTGGAAAAGTCCCAGACCAAACCCAGCAGCAGTGGGAGCTGATGCAGGACACACAAATCAGGATCAGAGGCAGATGAACCAGCAGGGTCTGCTTCGGCCTTGGCCTCTGCAGAATCAAGACAGAGGGAAGGGTCGAGATGGAAGGGCTCCAAGATGGAAGAAGAAAAGGATTGAGACCCTCGTGATCTCGGTTTTTATCCCGAGTATGACGTGTGTGGGATGCAATACCTCGTTGGTCCGTTTTGGGTCCGCTTCCCCCCCGTAGGCGCAGACACAGCACCCAGGATGAGACCACTGACCTTGAGCTTATCTTCTAGCAGCGCTGTTTGGGAAAAACCATGCTGCCAGTTTTCAGCAAGTTCAGCCACTTAAAAGAGACTGAGTTGAAAAGTAAAATCACTAAATAGAAAATTAGTTCTGTTTAGCTCAAACCAGGACAGAAATAAAGCACAAAACTGATTCTCTCTCCTCCTGGCAAAGCTGCTGGCTCTGCTGGGACTGAGCTCTCCCAGATAAAAGCATTAGATTTGAGAGAGCATTTGCATTACGGCCCCAAAGGCTGGGGCTGCTCTCATAGTTGGAGTCTATTGCAGCAGTGGCGTGAAGCTGTCTCATCATTTTAGGTTTGGCGTTGCCACCCCTGCGAGGAGGAGGATGTCTGCTGCTGAAGGGACTGGGTCAGGGGTGCAGGTTCCTGGCTTGTCTCCTTGGCCCCAGTCTCCTTGCTTATACCTTGCTTGTGTGCCAGGGCCCAGTTCTGTTCCTGAAGGTGGCAATAAAATCATTCCTGGGGCAGGTGAGGCCCTTCACCTGACAGCATTTCTGCCTTCCACAGGAGGAAGCTGCAGCTGCAGCACCACTGCTTATCAGCGAGAGAAGGGACACAATATTCCAGATGTGGTCTCACCA